TATTTTTAAGGCATAGATAAACACAATTTTAGATTTTTTCCACTATTATTTTATTAAAACGACTTAATTTAAGGGTCTTTTGTACCTAATTATTTACATATCCAACTAAATAAACACTAATATCTATTGTATATATAGAAATCTCAACAAATAGATAAATCCGAATACATTAAAAAAAAAAAAAAAACTAGGACCCTCTGCTTATTTTTAACCGGTATATGCTACATTAAGAAAAGTAATTCATTTTCTTCTTGAAAAATGGTAATGCCAAGGACTAATAACAAAACTTGCAAACTCTTTTTTCTTTATAATTCATTTTCTTTAAAATATATAGTTTTTAGTAACAGTACAATACGATCACAATATAAGACAGCAATCACAAATAGAACCATTAAATCAACAAGATATCCTAAGATATGGTATGGCATATCAGGAATGGCAATGTAGCCCTATTATATTAACCTAACCAATGTATCGACGGAGCATGGGGCCCTATTGCCTTAACTTTGTGCCACACTGCCGGCAATATAATATCCTTCAACTGTTTATTAGTCCCCCAACCAACAACTCAAATTTAGGTAATGTTAGGATATCTATGTTACATCTCCAATTCCCAACCCCAAATGTCTTTTTATGCGGGACCCATTGAAAAGGGGATGCCCCTAATTATGTATATCATTGGTGTTTTGATGGAAAAAGTCAGTCAGCATAGTGGGGGTGACATGGGTCTTCCATTTCACAACTTTTAAACGCAAGCAATGATGCTTATGCTTTGTGTGTGAAAGCTTCAACCCAACAAGAGATGAGAGTTCTAGTGGGACAAGCTAAAGCAAAAAAAGCCTTTCGCTTTTGGTGAAAGTCGGTGCGTTTCCTATGGTCCCTTCCTTAGCCCAAACAATATCAATTAAAAAAAAGAAAAGAAAAGAAAATGCATTTACTCTGACCAGACTCAGTGTTTTTGGCCAAATGGCAAATGATTCATTCTTTCTTTTACAAAATTCAACTCTCTCTTTTTTTCTTCTTTCTTTCGTCAAATGAATTTTTTATGTTATTTTTTTTATACGGTCGGTCTACTCCATCCACTTTTTCATTATTATTATTATTTTTTTATATCTCACGTAATTTATGATACATATATATGTTATCATCATAATTTATTAGGTGTTTATTAATTTTAAATTAAATGTTCATATAGTGTCAAACTCGTGTTTGATTCTGCCAAACCCGCTTCTTACTAACTCACGTGATGGATGGAATTCAAAATTTTATGGGACTTCCCTGAGAGAAGCATGTTAAATAAATTAAAAAAAAAAAAACAGCTACAAAGCAATTAAGGTAAATCATGTGAATTCGTCCATAGTATCATTGTTCCATTGAATCTAATTTCTGCAGCAAGACATTTTTCTTTTTTAACTAATA